CCGCAATGTGAAGATTAAAGCTACCTGCCTGCTTCATGGCTCAGCAGGAGTTTATGCAACATTCAGACTTGATGTTTTCTGCAGAAAGGATTTTTGCAGATGAGAGAATCCAAGAAAATTACCACAAATAGCTAAAAGGAATGGTATGAAAATGAGAATGCCAGCTAAAGAAAAATGAGAAGTAGAATTAAAAAGAAAAAAAAAAGATTTCCTATGTCTAGATGGATTAGCAACAATGCTAATGTCTTAGAATAAGCATTTATCTCCATCAAAGTAAAAAGATGGAACCTGCATGATTAGACAACAAAATGTTGAAACGGGGTAGAAATTTGAAAAGAAAGTTTGGAAAGAAGAAAAAATGCAGCAAACATGAAATTCAAATGGGTCACCCTAGAAAATACTTTGGCAGCTAACTGAAGTTATAATAGTATAAGTTAAAAAAAAAATTGCAAGCCTGCTAGGCTCTCCACCAACTTTGAAGTATGGCCGTCTGTTGACCTACCAAATAGGTCCAGGTGGAAAAACAAGCTGCAAAACAAGGTAAGGTGGTTTTGTTTGCTTTTCGCTTCAGAATAGCACCATTCCTTAGTGGTGAGCAAAAGCAATATTTTCAAACTGACCTTCCACTAGAAGATACTTGAAGGAAATCAAGTGTTAACTCTGTCGGGATCCTATTTTGTTCATGCTAAAGTTTGAAAAGAATAGATGGGGATGTGTTCAGCTACTAACATATACACAGCATGTATGCAGGAGTCAGCTTTGGAACCAGAGAAAGAGGCTGTTGAGGATGTGATTCCAGTCATTAACAGCACTTAAGAGATGATTCTGGGCAAAACAAACCAGTAACTCTTAAGTGAGATTAATTACTTAAGATTACATAAATAAATAGGATTTGCTTGCATGTAATACAGTTGATGACAGTACACTTTTCAGGCTTAATAACTTGATGAAGAATATGGGAAACAATATACAAATGTGTAAAACTAACGAAAAAGATCCCTGTGAGGTGGCTGCCGTCTCCCTGCCCTTTTCACCTTTCCCTCTATATTTTTTTAGAAAGGATATTGTAGAAGATATACAACTATAGTTACAGGGTAACAGACTGGTAAACCCACTTCTGTGAGCTAATGAAAACTGGGCGTGGGCTGAGATCATGGGCATGAACAAGGGAACACAGAGAAGGCCACAGAGAATGCTGTTCACAGCCCCACCATGTACAGCTATGAGAATGTGCAAACCAGAAACAGCCCCTAGAGCCTTTCTAGTGACTGGCTCCTGGCAGCATTTCTCAGGGGTCAGTACTGTGGCCAGTGCTATTTGAGTTTATTTGTTTATTTTTTGATGTGCTAAATGTTGATGGGGTTGCACCCTCAACAAGGCCCTGAAAGACTCAAGGGACAAGTTGAGATGCTGTGAGGTGGGTCTGCCATTAGAGGGACCTTGGCAGATGAGAGAGAGGGGCTGGCAAAGATGGGGAAGTTCAGAAGTACATTGGAGGCTTGTGCACATGGACCCAAATATCCGCTGAAGCACTGTGTGCTGGACACTGACCCACTAGAAAGTGGTTTTGGATAAACTGCTTCAGGCAATCTGATGAGCAGTGAGTTGTAGAGAACCCCTGTGCCAACCACACCAGAAGGTCATGAAAGGCAACCGCCTACTAGGCTGAATTGGCAAGAGTGTAGCCAGCAAGTCAAGAGAAGGGGTCGTCAAAGACTGAGAAAAATTATTTTTTTTTCCACCTGAAGAAGAGAAGGATAAGGGGAGCTCTTTTGGGGAGCCAGGCTTTTACCGAATGGGCCCAGCAATAGGCCAAAAGGTTGTTATTCAACCTTGCTAAGTCATGTGCATTCCTCTATGTCCTTGTCTCCTAATGTGTAGCAGGCCAAGGCTGGGGCTGCCACATGGTACCCAAAGAATCAGTTTCTGCTTGAGTATGAGCTGCTTTTCACCTCCAGTGTCTCAGTACAGTAGGGAAGCTATTTTTTCTGGGGAAAAAAAAAGTGTAACACATTGTATAACTTACAAACAACAGTCATGCAAATTATTTACTGTAGATTTAGAAGACTACTCTGCACATACTGTGTTGGATAAGGATTACTCACAACTAGATTATATATTTATTTATTATGCAAATATCAACCTTAGAGAAAAATTCAATGCTTGCAAAAGCCTTGAATCTGTAATAAACATGTAAGAAAAAAAAGCATTTTTTTCTGTACTGCTCTTTCTTATGTATCTTGGGGATTTGACTGTTCAACAAGTGATGGCTTGAGTTACTGTTTCCTAATTTGTATAGTGCAATGGAGTCTTGGACTGCAAAATGTGGGCTTGAAGATTTTTGTACAGTATTTGTATCATAGACCATTAAACAGATTTATTCTCTGGACAGCAGAGCCCACAAGAGCTTACTTTCTGTGCCTTCTGTGCATTGATGTTCAGTTTTTCTACAGGGCACCTGTATATTTGGATTAATTTTGTGCTGCATGTGTTTACTGGAATGGAATTTGAGAAGCTGTAATAAATAACTTCCCTTTTTTGGCTGTCCCGGTCTTTTCATCTTTTTTAATACACCCATGATACGAGCTACAGCTCTAGAATGCACATCCTAAACGTAAATGCTTAAATATGGGTCTACTTAGCCAGCTGTTTCAGGTGTGGTGTCAATGGAAACCTAGTCAGCTCAGCCACAGGAGCTTAGGCAGCTGTTCATCTGACAAATTTAGGCATCTTCTGAAGTGTTATCTAAACAGCTTCTCAGGTTCTGCTGCCTGTTACACTGTAATTTGTGAGTTAGAATGGAAGTTTAAGGATGTCTATAGCTAGCTTGTGTATATGTGTGTTTAGATGTCTGAAATTTGGAGCTACATAGTCTCTCAATTATTAATCAACTTTATTAATGACTTCAGTAATAATAACCTATCACGCAGTGTTTTGTACTCAGAAACAGCTATTGTCTTTAATTCCATGCCACAACCTAAATATATGTTATTGCTTTTATTCTTCGGTATTAAGTGCCTTGTTCAAATGTTCCTGGAGGGTGAGAAAGCGGTCAGTGAGTTTCAAGGAACAAATGCTACGTTATTGTGCTACTACAACAATTCTCTGTAGCTCTGTATGTAGCAGACTTTACAGAGTGCTCTTGGGTGAGGTGGATCCTTTGGTGTTTGATGTGGTTCAATTCCTCTTGCTGAAGTTTGAAGAAGTAGAGCCAGTCTGAATGAAGCTAGCACTGCTAGTGTAAGTTGTAGTAGTAGAAATGATTTGATACATGTAGCCTTGTCAAGGTATGGCACAGTTACTTAGAAGCCACATTAAAAATACTCTATTTTTTTACTTCACATATTAAAATCATCATTGCTTTAGTCATTCTCCAGATAAAATGTCTACCTCTTTTACATGGAGCAGCAGAAACACAGCAGAAATATGCAAGCCAAAAAGTGTAGAGATTTGTGAAAATATTTTATTAAGGTAGTATATTCAGAATTACATATTTTGAAAATCTTCACTGTGTCCAAGAGAGAGTTATTTGCAGCTGAGTTGAGAGATAACTAAAATTCCATTTGAATTTTTGTTTGGTGGAGTTAATGTGAAGAAAATAGGAAAATAAAGTTACTGGAAAGACATTTCAGTCTGGAAGTATTTCCTATTTACAAATTTTTGACATGTGCTGCTTGAAACCTGTGAAGCCAAGTATCAATCATGCCAGATCTTGGGGTAGCTGTAGAAAACAAAGAACTGTTTTTTGTCCTGGGAATTCAGTGTAGGACAGTAACGAATGTATACAATTTATGGGAAGGCAGCTTCCTGGAAATGTAAATTGTGCCTTTTTGTAATCCTGGTGTTTTTTTATTTATTTTTTCTGGTGAATTACAGCAGACTCAGCCTTAGTATCTAATGCATTTTAAGAAGGAGGAAAAGGCAGAAAGGAGACCCTAGAGATTTTAAGAACAAGGGAAGGTGATAGGAAGGAACAAGAAAGGATAGGAAGTTCGCAATTATGTTGATTGTACATCAAAAGAAATGCCAGTGATAGGGCAAACAGAAGGAGAAATGGTAATTCAGTAAACCAGTTGGGATACTGAGATACTAGGAAGATACTTCAAAGTTTTTTTAAAAAAATGAAGAATTTAATGAAATAAAAAGTGGCTTCAAAGGTTTTGACATACTGATTTATGAATAGAGTTTAGAGAAAAAGTTCCTTGCTAAAGCGAAGAGGATCAAAAGATGTGACAGTGTTCTACAATACTTGGGAAAGGAAACAGGGTAAGGAGGAAATCGTTTGGCCTGATGTGTAAAATATAAGTGTGAGAATAAAGTGTGAGAATAGTCACAGGATTATTGCACTGGAAGAAGAAAGGAAGGTTTCTTCCAACCAAAGTCTTTTACAATCACCCTTATCGTTCCCAGGTGCCATCCACCTTCCCTGCTTACTTGGAGTCCTAGTTTTGGCCTTGAGAAGGTTTTATGTGGGTGTGGGGAACCACTTCACAGATTAATTGCTTCTCATATTCACATTTATCATGCATCTTTAGGGAAGAAATAGGATATATATGAGTAGCTCAAGGGATGTTGCCATTAGAATGTTTTTACAGAAGTGGCTTGGCTGGAGTGTCTCTAGGCTAAATGTGAAGAAATTTTTTTTTTTTTTTTAAAAAAAAGGTTAAAAGACTAACATAAGCTTGAAAAATAAAATGTAATGAATAAAGTACATTCAAGTCTACAGAGAGGTATTATTATCTGGAGTGGGTTTTTTTTCCCCCTGTGGCTGAAAGATTTGATGCTTTTGTGTTTCATTGACATTAGGCTTTTATATGTAATAGTAAAGGAAACTACTGGCAGTATTTGAAACCTTCAGACGCCTATCAGTACTAATATATTTGCTTGTTATGTAACACAGATATCATCTGTGGCTATATACTAGAAGTTTATCTTTTTTTTTTTAATTAACAGATTCAGAGCATTCTTACTACAATCTAATCTTGAAGAAAGCAGGACAATTTTTATCCAATTTGCAGGTCAACCTATTGAAATTTGCACTTTCCATAAGAGCGTACTCTCCAACTGTTCAGATGTTTCAACAGGTGTGTATATTATATATTTGGTATGTGATTTTATCTTGAATTTTGCTTTCAGGGTAAATAATTTTCATTATTACATTTAGTTGCATGGATATCTGTATTTTCAGGTTAGGTACTTTTTGCAATTCTCTGCCTTAAAGTTCAGATTTTTTAAAATATTTTTTTTTGCATTGCTTTAAATAACTTTATAAGAATGTATACTCAGACATTTCCAAAGTAGGAAATTTCCTACAGCTTCAAAGCAATGAGTTTGTTACTTAGTGGAGTTCTCATCATTCTTTCACAGTATTCTAATAATTCAGAAGCTGAAAAATAGTCAAATATCTGCTTTGCTGTGGATGCCAAAGTGGGAGGATATAAATGCACTTCGCTTCTAGCCTAAAGCTGCCCTTCCTGTTAGCATTGCAGCTTTGGAGAGAAAGAGGGAAATCTGTTTTTGAATGAGGCCTTACACTTTGAGAATTAGCTTTTTTTTTTTGCAAGTGTTCTCTGGTGGAATATGCTCATCTCAGAATCAAATCTTTTTATTATCCTCCTCGCGCTTGTGAGGGCAGAATCATTGCTGTGCTTAGGAAAAAGAGATGAAGCATCACAGTGAAATCTTTATTTGGGAATGGCTGAGCAGGGTTCTAAAAGAGCCCAAGAAAAACAATGTGGAGGGAGAGAGAATCAAAAACTAATGTGAAATATTTGGGATTTATTGGGTAGTCATATCTTTGGACTTTAATGTGACTGCAGATAGTAACTAAAATAAAAATTTCCTGTAGTGCATTCTGTAATTTCAGCTTTTGGATGAGATTTCTTAGCCTCATCTGCAAAATATTAATGGACTTGCATTTTCTGGAATATGACTTCGTTTGATAGGCTGCAGCTCACTAAATCTTGTAAGGTCACAATCTTTTAATCTTTTCCATTACTATTTTTTCACATATACCCAATTTTGAACAGGTTTAATTAGAAACACAACTCAGTGGCAGCTGTTGAGTTATTTTAATCAAAGGAATGTGTGTTTAAGTTGCAATCAGAGCAGTCTGGCTGAGTGTAATTGTTGAAATACTAGATTGCAGCTGATGAACCTGCACCAGAAGGCTGCAGTGCATTTGTGGTGATCCATGAGAAACACACCTGTAAAACCAATGAAATAAAAAAGCTTCTGAAGAAGGCCACTAAGCGGTAGGTATATTGATCTATTTTAAGAGAAAAAATAATTAGTATTCTAAATTTGTACTTTCTCCATGCTTGCTATTACCAAGCCCTCTTCATTTTTTTATTTAAGTTTCTTCATTTTTAAAATTTATGTTAAAAGTTACTATTTTTGATATATTTTGAATACTATTATGAGAATTCATCAATTATGAATCAAGTAAGAAATTAAAATAAAATCATAATTCGTTTCTTCACTAACTACATATATTATTTTGCATTTTATTTATTTATTTATTTTGATGTGGGATAGTCAAGTTTAACTTAGGGTGCATTTTCTGTACAAGATTGCCTGTGGCTCATGGTTGCATACACCAAAGAATTTTCAAACCAGGCCTCTCCTCACGGCCTGCCTTACACATAGGGTCTCTGCATACCTGCTACACCTACCTAGGATGTTGATGATAAGGCCCTGAGCATCTTTACGTAACTTGGCCCCGCACTGTGTGAGCAGTTAGCGCAGAAGGAAGAACCTCTTTACTGTGAGGGTGACAGAGCCCTGGAACAGGCTGCCCAGAGAGGCTGTGGAGTCTCCTTCTCCGGAGATCTTCCAAACCTGCCTGGATGCCACCCTGTGCCACATGCTGGAGCAGAGGGGTTGGACTAGGTGATCTCTAGAGGTCCCTTCCAACCTCAACCGTTCTGTAATTTTGTGATGACTCCAAAGTTCTCTTCCAATTTAAATTATTCTCTGATTTTATAGTGAAGATACTCTTAAGATTTGCATCGCAGAAACTGTGGATTATGGACTTCTGCTCACACCTTTCCCACATTGTTTTTAAACAAGCATCTAGGTACCATGTGCACATTTCTGCAGTGGGTGCTGGGTTAGAATTTCTCAGCTTGTCCTGGAGAGGTTTGAGGGGAGGTTGCTGGTCTTTAAGTGCAACCGTGCAAAGACCATTTTGAAAAAGAAATGTCCTTATTGACGATTGGTTCTTTATTCATATTGCCTGCTGCTTTTTCCTCTTTCCCAGAGTCTTATTCAAAACATTTTGCCATTATCTAAGGATTTACTGCAGGCGTAGAAAGCATAGCTTTTCTACCGTCATGAGTTTGAATGAAGAGGATAAGTAGCAATCAAAATTAGCAAAATTAGCTAAATTAACAGAGCTTGACGCTGCTGGGGAAGCAAAATCCGATTAGTTTTCATGTGTGTTGGCAGCTTTCTCAAACTTCAGTGAATATTCCTATGCAACTCTGTTTTTCCCTGGTTGCTTGGAACTCTGATCAGAGTGCATCATAGTCGGTCAAAAGGTTTTAGCTGTAACAGGGTTGCACAAAATCTCAGGGCTCTGTGCTTTTAATTTGGCTGTTGGTGTTGTGATTTGATAAAATATATTAAAATTGCCTACAGTCCGTGCTGATTTTTGAGTTTCTTAGACTTTAACAATGATGTTGCAAGATCTTTTGTGAACAATCATGGGGGTTATGGTGCAAATTGTGTACTTTTAACAACTACATCTTCGATAACGATAACTTTTCAATATGAAGTAGAAAACTGTCACTTTTTTTACTTCATTTCTGAATATTTATCACAATAATTTGTTTTTAAAAACAGACCCAGACCTTATCTTTTCAAGGGAGACCATAAATTCCCAACTCTCAAAGAGAATGGTCCAGTGGTTTTACTTTATGCAGAAATGGGTACAAAAGACTTTGTTAAATTCCACAAGATTTTATCTGAAAAGGCGCAAAAAGAGGAAATTGTTTATGTTCTCCGTCATTATGTACAGGTAGGCAATTCTAATTGATATTGATTCAGTAACTGCTAGTATTGTATCTTTTTCTTGCTTTCTGCCTGTATTTTTGCAATTGCCTAAATCATGTATAATATATATTCTAACTTTAAAACTTGCAGATGAATTGAATCACACACAATGATTATGTGACTCTGAATCACATAATACAAACTTAGAAGCTGAGAGAAAAAAAAATCATATTTTATATCGGATTTTAAGAAACTTCTAATGACATTCCTTTTCATTTTATTTGAAGTATTATCTTAAAAAATGTAATTGTAAAATTGTAATTACTTGTTTTATTGTGCATTAATGTGTATATATGCAGCAGTGCCACTTTTGGTTCAGAAAAGTTAGTAAAGGCTAAAGAAAATGTCTCACTTAAGTATGTAGCCACAAACTTAAAACCCATTGCACAAGCTGCTGCGTTGGAGCATTCTAAAAGAAAGTTTATTAAATGCTGATCTTTGCACATAGATTTTTTTTTTTTCTTCTAAATGCTGCTTTTTTGCTCATCTAATCAACTAGATTTCCTGTTTCATTCTTCCTTATGCCTTCTTCCAAGTTAATTTTTATGGTTCTGAGCTGTACCAGCTCCTCCTAATCCTGCACGCAAATACTGTTTGCGTCACTGGTTGATCTCAGAACACCTCCCTTTGGTCATTTGTCTGGTTTTTGTTCATTGTACAGTAATCTTGGATGAATCATGGGTATTACTAGGAAGAATCAAGAGAAAAAAATAGTTAGAAAATCAAGCTTAAAAAAGAATCAGTAATTAATTAAATTTGTAATTTTATGTATTCTCAATATAGTCTTGCATGTCCCATTAGAATATGGCTGCATTGGCTATCAAACTCTACATCATTGCCCAGTTTTTCAACATTTGTATTTTCCTGGGATCATTTTTTTAAACGTAATGTTTCTGAATGCTTTTCCTAATTTATTCTTCTCTGAAGGGAATTCTTCTCTTCTCTGAAGAATAAGTCTGAAGCAAAACATGGCCTAGCAAAACCAATACCAGTACATAGAACCATGTTCTCTCCCAATTTGGTAATGAGTAGATTTCTGTAATTTATTTCTGAAGCAAAGCTTCCGGCAGGGAGGCACGTGCTGATGGCGCGACCTGCTGCTGCACTGTGTTATGTGGAGCCAGGGAAATTCTGGTTGTGTTGGGGTATCATCCTAGCCATCTTTCTGCTCTTTTTTTTCTTTCCTTTAACTGTCTCCATGTTATTACCTGTTTATTCATCGTGGTCTCCCAAAATGCTGTTGTCTTCTTCACTGCATTCTCTCTTTGAACACTCTTCCCTTTTTTACTTCTTTCTCACAACCTCCATTTTATTCCTGTGGTTCTCCATGAGACTGCTTTTTTCTTCTTTGTTCATTAAATGCCAGAAGAGGGAGCATTGAGAGCAGAAGAGGGATAGTCCTTCTGCTATCACGTTGTCTTTGCCAGCACCCCTGAGCCTGCACTTGTCACTCTGCACCACAATGTGCTTAGCTGAAACCCCCAACTCTGCTGGGTTTTCAGTCTTGGGCTCGAGGATTCTCAATACAGAAAGAGTCTGAGAAACTGCAAGCTCAGACTGAAAGACTTTCAAGAAATTTCTGCTGTGCATGTGCAAAATGCATTTTGGAAAGGAGATTTTTGTGCATTTTGGATAATTTTGGGTGTGTTTTCAGAAACAAGTTTTCTCTGAGTGCTTGTTACCCTGCTGAGTGTCAAACTTCGAGGCAAAAAATGAAACACTTGTGCTTCATAAAGGACTTAGGGTGTTTTAGCAGTGAAATTTTAATACATTTTCTTCATCTTCCTCACAGAAACCACTTAACTATTTCCTTAAAGCTTTCAAAAATGTCAGCAAAAATAGAGAATTTCCTCCTAAAATGCTGCAGTCTGGCAAAGTTACAAGGAAATGAAAAAGATTTTAAAGTGGGAATTGTAAGGCATCATTAATTGCATAAGTACTACTAGTTCTGCCTATTCAAGTCCATCTTTTAATACTATGTGAAGGGGCTACTATTTCAACAGCATTTCTCTGTGGTCTTCAGGATGACTTTGTTTTTTGTCACACACATTCTTAATGATTTGATAATTTAATGGTGTAAAGTCAGTATGGCTTACATAACTCTTTTCATGTATTTCATTTGATGGAGTGTTTTGTACCTTGAATCCTAAGGTGAAAGATCAGTTTAATTACAGCTGTCATAACATTTAAATTTAATATATTAGATACTGTTAATCTTCTTTAAATGCACTATTCTAATTTACAATTTTTGTTTTGTTAAAATAATGTCATCAAGCAGAAACCAAAATCCAGAAAAATGTATTTATCTGGATATGGTGTAGAACTTGCCATAAAGAGCACAGAATATAAAGCAGTAGATGACACACAGATTAAAGGTATGTTTTATTTTTGATATCTTGTAAAACCAGTCATATTTTGAGGGTCGTACTTAACTACATTTTATACACATTGTTAAAAAACATTAAGAACTAAGACATGAAAATACATGGAAGCCTTTGTGAACAGCTGTGCTTAAGATATAGTTCATTACTTAATTATTGTTATCTGTAGCTGTACTTCAAAAAGTAATCCCTTCTTCCTTTTCAATAGGTATAGGATTACACGTGTTTACCCTTGCCTCTTCAATTACTTTATGTCAGCTGGCATCTCTAATAAGTTAATTAGCACAGTATCTGCAATTATTTTTGTGTGTTTCTATACTTGCGCATTCTTCTGTAGAAAAGATGTAAGGGAGCACAGAATTTGGTGCCACTACCTGTTATAATGTACTGAAGTGAGGTGTACACTGCAGAAGGTGGTAGCTGTAGTCTTCTGACAGAGAGTAATTACCTTCTGTGAAGACTTACAAGGCTTATAGTAAGTTACAGATAACCCTCGTGTTGCTTTTGGTGAGGCTAGTGCTCAATAGCTGCTGAGCTCCCACAAGTTCGTTTTAAGGGACAGACACTGATCTCTGACTTGCATCAAGTGCTGGCTGGGGATTCAAGAGGTTTAAAATAGGCATTTTTTTAAGTCAGCATAGATTTGATGTCACTTGCTCAATAAACATTATACGTTAGTGTTTACTCAAACTGAGAAAGGACTATTTTGAGGAGTGAACTACTTAATACGTAATTTTCATTTGTATTGGAAATGTACGCATTAGATGAATTCCATGCAAAATGAATTTGAATGTTGGTAATTTCTGTAAAGTGATTCATTCCGATGCCAACATATGAATGGACATATCTAAATCTACTGGAAATTACAGCCAGACATGACAACTTTTGGATCATTTCATAATTTGTAAGAACATAATACATTACTAATTTGCTTGTTTTATGTTGTATCTGTATGCTGCATATTCAGGAACAAATAGCACATCAGAAGTGGAAGATGATGAGGATGAGGAGGATAGTGATGTCCAAGGATTTCTCTTTGGCAGATTGAAGTGAGTTGGCATAAAAGTTTTTGCACCTGAAATAAAACAAACAAAATCATTCTACATAAAAAGTGATATTTATTTTGGCAGCAATTTTATTTACTATATTTGCTGTAATATAAAAGACAGAGTTGCACGTGTGTGTATGTGTTGTGAGCGTAAAGATGGAAAAAAGTTTACTCTGTGCTTTTCTGTTTATTGCTTTTAGAGTTCTAATTCTCTTGGAACGTATACACTAAACTATTTAAAGTTAAAAATTCCCTCTTGCGAAGATATGAACATGAAAATATGATGTTCTACAGTAAGCAGCTGTTACATCTTCTTTTTTCAGCTGATCAGAATCAAAATGTTGATTTTCAAAATGCAAGTAACAGTCTAACAAATCCAAAACCACATGTTGTAGCTACTCGGGGTGTTTTTTTAAGAGGCAGAGTCATTCTTTTCTAAGGGTTAAGGGATGTTTCTTGAAATGTCTTCTTATGGAGTTCATGAATTTGTGTTCTGGCAGGAGCTCTTACATCTCCAAGTTACAGTGTGTTGGACCAAGTGAGGGATGAAATCAGTTGCAACCCTGTGGGAAGCACAGGCTGCTTCCCGTCCGTTGCTGCTGGATTCCCTTCATGGCTGCAGTCAGCAAAAGTGCTTCCCTCACGCTGTAACAGATCCATACAGGATTGCCATTTCAGCCGAGCTTGCATTCTTCCAGGAGTCTGGATTGCACTTTAATCACAGCAGCACCAGCTCTTTTCTCCAGCAGTGATTTATTTTCTTTTTCTGTAAAGGGCAACTGTTAATATCATCCACTACCTATCAAATGAAAGGGGGAGAGGGACGCCTCATGCGACTGTCCAATATCTATAATGAAGTATAAAATATCACAGAAAAAAAACTCTTAATGTTTTAGATATCTGGTTTTTAAACTATTTTTTGCTTCTTATTCTAGATGCTTCTTTATGTCTGAGTAGTGATTTGTGTGATCAGTAGCTTGATTTTATCAGCAATATTAATTAATGAAAGATTTCCTCTCTCCCTGCAAACCTTGGCTTGTAGTGGCAATAAAACGGCAATGCAACTATATCTTTATAATTTTATAGTGATAGTTAATATACAACTAACTGCATATTGTACGATATTTTACTAACTATACAGCTACCTATAGCATGTGTTAATGTTATTGAGGCTTTTTTTTAAGTTAATTTTTTTTTAAAAAAAAAGGGTCTGACACAGACCACAAAATATTTGAATTCCTCCATGAAAATAACAAGTGCTTAGTCCGTCCTAGGATACTATTATGGTCTTTCTGTGCACCCCAAATCTTCATGTGTCAAGAATAGAATTGAAATTTTAACTCATGTTTGTTACCGTAAATATACAATTTTAACTGTAATCAATACTGTGAGTGTAAGCAGACTCTTGAGGGATATCATTGATTTTGTCCTTGTTTTTTGCATGTTTTCGTGTAGACAAATGCATCCTAATCTGAAAAATAATCTCAAAGAGTTTAAAAAACATCTAATTGAAACTACTAACAACATGGAGCCTCTGAAGGTCTGGGAGCTACAGGGTATGTTTTTTTTTTTTTTTCTCTGACTTATTACCTCATTCTATTTAACTCTGCTTTGTTATGTTGGTGTAGAAATACTATAATAAAGGCTGCTTTTTTGAAGGGACATAGTTTCAATAAAATAGAGTATTGTATTGAGGATTTTAAAGTATATGGGTATTTTATCTTATTATTATATGCTAGAAATTAAAGCAATATTGAAGTCATTTTATAAGGTGGACTATTATAACTAGTCTTCCAGATTTGAAGTTTAGGTTGCCCCATTATTTTGCCTGACGTATTATCCCAGGTACTATATTTAATTTAAGATGATTTTTGACAGGAGGTTGAAAGCATTTAAGCACTGGGATGCTCTTTGTTCAGGGCCAAGGAAACTGATTTACTTGCAATAAGTAGATATACAGTTTTTTTTCTTTTTTTTTCTCTTTTTTTTTTTTCCAAACAGGGGACCTTCAGGCCCCTCTTGACATGACTACGTGTTTTCTCTAGCTCTTGGTGCCTAATCCTACTGAGTTAATGACTTCGCTACGCTCAGAGTTCCTTTTATTACAGTTTTAAAAAGAGCGATTTTATTTGTTGTTATAAAAATATTACAATGTTTTACCAAAATAAAACACTTACAAAAATTTTCCTGTAGAAAAGAAGTTTGTTTTTTAGAACTTCTGAGGGTCTTCTGTTTTGGATAAGTAATTAGATTTACTCTTGTGTCTTTACTCTTATTAGCTCATTCTCCTGTCTGTGTGAGCAGCCACTTGCTCCTCTTGATCTCTAGTGCTTCGAAGGCTACTTTGTGAGCGGCTTTAAGCACAGGATCCTCTTTTCCCCAAGGTCTGTCTGTTCTCTCTCAGCTGTGCAGTGCACCACAACTCGGAAGCCTTTAAGTGACTGCACACCAAAGTGCAGCGCAGATCAGGCATCGGGATCTGCAGTAATAGCAGCAAGCAGGTATTCCTCACCTGGTCACTGTTTATTGGGCTGCCAAGAGAGATCTGAAATGTTCTTTTTGAGAACAGCAATTTTTTTTTTCACATGAGCCATTGTTGAAAGTATTAAGAAATTTCTAATTAACAATCCATCTCTCAGGGGACCTAAGTCCTTTCCAGTCAACACCTATCTTGTCAGGCAAAAAATGGAATGATGCTGACACCTTTCCTTCTAGCTGTTTTTTTATTTCCTGACTTCTTTCAAAGACTGGTGCAAAGGTCTACCAGGTAACATACTCTAACATACTCTATGTCCTACTGCCTAGGACTGTTTTACTATACGTGGCATCAAGTTCCTTCAAACTGGATAACTTAAGGCCTTCAGTTTCTCATCAAATATCTTAATTAGAAACTTAATAGCAAAAAGTGTCATTGTCCTGAGGTAGGAAGGCAGACTATATCCAGAGTTTATGGAGGGACTTAGTGTATTATTTCCTTACAGGGTATGTGCCAGAATTTGTTTTTCCCTGCTCTCATGTGCCAACTTTTATTACACCCAAGATAAGCACCTAACATAGGCTAATTAGATTCTGTTTTTTCCCTTTAGAAAAAAAGATACCCTTTCCTTTGAAACATGCTAGACACTTAAAGGAACTGCAATTTGACTTTAACCACAAATTCTCCATTTTCAGTTCTTCTGAAAATGTAAGCTTCTGAAGATAATGCGTCTCGTGCTCAGTATGACCTTCTTAGATTTAGTGTATCCATTCCATGAAAATCCTGTGAAAATCCAGTTACAGACTGTTACGGATTGGTCTGTGTTTAGACTTCATCATGATATCCTTGATATATTGGTACATGAGTGTGATGCACTGTCTGTTTTTGTCAGTGTTCTTCTTTTAACCTCAGAAATTACATGTGCAGCCTGTATCCTTAAGATAGCCAAGCAGAACTTGTGTAAGAAGCCTGAAATTTGGCATTTCCAACTTTTGAAGTCTCTCTTTCCAAAGTAATACTTCATATACATTAATGTATAATTGAAACAAAACGTATCTAAGAATGAGAGCGTGTATACAGAACAGTTTTTCTGATTGTAGACAATATTGATTTTAAGAGGTATTTCCAGTGTGTTTTTTTTTTTTTTTTACTCTAGATCTTAGCTTTCAAGCAGCTGCTCGAATTATGTCTACCCCTGTTTATGATGCCTTAAAGGTAATGAAAGACATAGCTCAGAACTTCCCAATAAGAGCCAGGTATGATACTTATGCTTATTTTCCAAGTATTGATTTTACACTGGTGTCTGAATTTCAAGACAATAATACAGATTTATATCCAAATCCCGCGCTTGGGTAATCATGTTTTACAGCTTCTTAGATACATTTCAGGCAATTTCATTGAATAGAAGATAGCTTCTGGGGAAAGTTATGACAGGCCTCCTGAGTGTTTCCTGTCTGATGCACAAGATACCGTCTTTTACCAATGTGTTCTAGTCTTTCAGACACCTAATATCTAAAGGACTAGGCTTTCCGTTTTTACTGGAGTGGGCATTTTTCTAGGTACAAAATTCTGTTAAATTAAAGCAGAGCTACTCACAATAGTTAGGGGCAAAACTGCTAGTTTTATAGCAGATCTACCCACAGCAGTAGGTTCAAAGCACAGCATTGCTTGTAAGACTGGATCCCAACTGTTGTGTGCTGGTAAGACTTCTCACTGGGCAACGTACACAAATTACTCAACAAAAGATAAAAGTCAATTTTAAATAAACCAGAACATTAATATTAACCAGAATATTAAAGACTGCCTGTTATGAGCTGGTTGTGTTATAGTTGAGAAATGCTTTTCTTTGCATTTCATAAGACCTTCATGTAATCCTGATTCTATCAGGTAATATTTGTCTGAGTTACTGAATTCAGTAAGATGCTAAATATGGTTCTTAACTTGGTACTTTCATGTTTTACGGCCCTTACTTAATCATCACGTTATGTTTTATAGTTACCTGTGGTTTTCTTTAAAGAAAACGTGCATTGTAATGGAAGCAATACCTTTACAGTATCTTGTTTTAAGGAAGACAAATAATTTTCAGTGCCTGAAACATAATTATTATGAAATAGTAACATATGCATTTGCAGTAACATTAACAACCAGAAAATGAAACTTTTCAGTAGAGAGCAACAGAAACGTACATAGTGTTGAATTGTAGCACTAGTTCTGTTCTTTAAAAGACAAGAAAAAAGGATGGTTTTAAATACGCTTCACAACCCTTAAGTCATCGACTTTAAATAGTCACTTAGCTATTACATCCTACTGAACATTCCTTGTGTATGTGGCGAACAACGCAATTTATGTACTCTTCAAACTTTTTTTTTCTGGGTAAAATTATAAAACTTTGATATTATTAAAAAGTATTACAATTTCTGTTCTGTATAAATTATTCTAATATGCTAACCCAGAATGTTATTTTAACATGAGAGATTACAAATATTTAAATAATTTGAGAAGCTATTGACAAGAATCCTAAATGCCTAAAAAGGCGTTTTGTGGAGAACAGTGCATAAAATGTCTTTCCCCACTGATCTAATCGCACTTAACCTGGTTAGTCATGAATACTATTTTCAAAAAATAAGATCTAGAATAAAATGGAAATTAAAAGCTACTGTTTATCCCTCTTATGCTTAGTTAACTGAGCCTCCTAACAACAGTCTTGTTTACGTTTGATTTTAAACTAAAGACATTATTGATATTTCGCCTTTGAATATTTGAAATTTTCAAAGGTCTCAATTGTTTTAATTTTTTAATGTTTATTTTTTAAATATATCAGCCATTCTTAAAGTGGTCATTCTTTGCATAGTTTCCTTGCCTTTGTCGGTGTCAAAATGCGTCCTTTGGCCCCTTGTAACACAGAGTTAGTAATATTAACTTAAAATATCCAAATAGCATTTCCATTCAGGATGTTTGAGCAATTCCTTGGTTTTCAGTACACAAGCTATCTTCCAGAAAAATAAAATGAAAGATTGAGAATGCTGTAAATATGCTGATTCTGTTACTTCAGCAAAATTGAGCATCAATTTGAAGCTTAAATTTACTAGTGTAACACAACAAAAGATTGGTTTGGAAACTAGAACATTTATGACCCTATGCATTACTCTCGATTTTTTTTTTTTTTAGGTCTTAATTACTGCATTCTTTATTTACAGTGCATTTGATACAGTGGCAATATATTGCATTTTATTTAATACATTTAAAAAATATAACAGTTAAGTGATAACAACATTTTTTTTCCAGATCATTGACAAGAGTGTCTGTAGACAAGGAACTGCGAAATGAGATAGAAAAAAATCAGAAGGTTGGTTTTTATTTCTGGAGGTACACATAGAGTTACCATGATGTCACTGCTTTTGGACATTTAGCAAATTTTACCTAGTTTCTCTCAGGGAAGAAAAAGAAATAATTAATTTAAGGCTTGCTGGTCTTGCATGCCCAAAGAGGCACACTGGAGTGTAATGTTCTTAGGCAAACAATTGCGTATGGTTTGCATGTGGGACTGGTGACAATTGGATTAGCTAATCACAACAGTTGACCTTCTTGGGACCTTCAGCTTTCTTGTGAAAGGACTGTGTGTTTTGATTACTCACTAGGAGATGCACACCAGTGGACTCAGTGTCATGGAAACCTCTTCCTTCTTATACTACTATGTACCACAGTTTTTGCTCAAGGAAGCAAGGCACTATCTGCATCACTCTTCATTGCTTTCTGGATATGACTAAGATACATTTTCCTTTATCTCTTCTTTGCTATGGTGACTATAGTCAGGATAAAGCAAAGCAAAGCCTTGATGATCCTGATTTCTCCAGAGTATCTGTGTGTTACTATCAGGACCTTGATGAGTGTTTTTTTGATGAAGCCTTCACAATATCTAGGTCTAATTTTAGCTTTATTTAAATAAATAAATAATAAATTAAAATAAAACCCCAAAACTTCTTAAGCAAAATCTCTCCAAAATGCAAGCAAATTAAAGATTTATCTAGAATTTAAATGGCTATGTTTACTGAAAAATAGGACCTCTTGGACAAAAGAAGTAAGATTTAGTTTGAGATGAAGACACTTGCATTTAAGAAGATGTCAATGGGCAACAAAAACAAAAGCTCACTCTACATTTGTCATGTGGGGCTCATTTGAGTTGCTGTAACCTAACTTCATACGTCACTGGAGATACTGCAGGGCATCCAAAGCATCCACGCAGGATCCAGGTGGCAGCTGTGGCCTGTGCCTTCTGCCTGGCCTCTGTTTTCCAGTCCAGAAGCCTTATGTTGAGACCTAGCGGCAGCATCTCAAATGGCATTAGATACCAGCGTGGTTTGTAAGCACAGTCACCTTCTTAACTCCTTAGACTAGATGAAGTGTACTGGCTGCACCAGGATCTTAGGCACATACCACACAACATGCAAGTCTTGCACAAAGTCGTGTGTGAAACAAAAAGCCCTTAGCTAAATCTAGCCTGATTAATAAACGCAGGGAGGCTTCTCGAACACTGCTGCTAGTGCACAATGAACTGGCATGTGAGTTCATGAACTGCAGCACATCCGTTTAACAGCAGGAGAGATACAGTCTTGTCCTGGGGTAGCTGAATGATTCCCCCTCCTGGTAATGAAAGCTGAATAGGAAATGTAATGGGATGGCATAAAGGTATTAAAAGTTGAAAAGCACATGATGATTTAGTTGTAGAGAGTTCATATCTAACTAAGAGATAGACAAAGCTGCTATAAAGGGAAAAAGAAAATCCCATTTAAATGCAACTCATAACTTCCAGTGTAGTAATTTGTTGACAGTTTAGCAAAATACTATGCATTTCAACATCAGATTCTAGTCTTGGATGCTTAAATACTCCTTCCATCAAAGTAGTTCGGGCTCTTCTGAACAACCAAATGCCTCGTGTGAATATTGTGGAATGAGTCCCAACTCGGACTCAGATACTGACTGATACTTTTTTTTTTCCTTATTTTTTTGCATTTAGTTTAGTTAATGCTAGTTCTTGTAGGACCAGAACTAGCCAGCTGCAGTCTCACTTGGTAGTGCTGCTTATCTGAGTCTCTGGGCTTCTGGGGGCGACTGGTACAAGAACTGATATCATAAGTGCTGATCTCAGTGCTGCAAGGAGAAGGTCTCTTCTAGCTGCTCAGTCTGTCACACAGCCCTGATGGGTTCCAGCCTTTCAGACTGGAATCTTCCTTTAGCTTTTGTTCAGCCCGGTGCCATTAAGGGGGATTTTCTGTGCTCACAGCTGTTTGTGGCAAAACTGTGCTGTTAAACTACTGCTGGAGTGATACATGCTAACTAGATCAGAGTTTCAGACCCCACCTCGGATATGGAGTCCCCCCACTGTGTCATGAGACTGACTATTTTCTTTGTCCTTTATATCCTTTTAATTTGTGGCCCTGAATCAAACATTGTGTAGGCAAAATGACTAGGCATTCGACCTGCTCTAGGAGCCTTTTTAGGTAGCCTGGTGTTGCACCAGACAACATATTGACAGCTTGGAAGGGATGTGCAGAATGACACCTCAGGAGCGTTGCAGGTCATTATGAAGATTCTGTTGCTCCTTTTTGAAAGGCTCGCTGACTTCCATTTCTAGCTGTCTAACTAGCTGATAACTAGCTAAATAACTTCAAAGAAGATTAAAAAAAAAGACCATCTGATCCCTTATTAGCAATAGTGAGAAGACTGCATTCCCCCAGGTTCACCCAATTATATCAGAGCTTGAAAAGATAGTTAAAACTGCAATGACAATAGATGTAATCAACAGCAGGGTTCAGTATCCTCTATTTGTTTCATCTTCAGGTTTCATAAAAGCAGCCATATTCAGATACCGTTAAAACAAGCACAGATAGTTATTATATAGTCTTTGGTAAATCTACAAAGAAAAACCATGAAAGCTCTGCAAAGTAGGGATCACGCAATTAAAACAACAAAGGCAGGAAATTAAGAGTTCTCAGTAATGCGTACTTACCAGATGCACTGTAGCAATTTCTAAAGCCATTTTTCAAGTAGCAGGACAAGTTTTGTACTCATAAAAGTTCCTTTTGTGTTTGGCTCGGGCTTATCACAGCTGCATTTTCCCTTCATAGACAGCCTTTTCTTTGATATGGTGATATTAGGTGCCATTGCATATTTCTAATCTACACTGGTTTGTGAAAATTTTTAGACAGACTAACAAAAACAAGTACCTTTTTGATTAATGTTAGTGATGTGCCTTCGTGTGAGGTTTCAAGCAGCTTGAAGTGAACAGTGGGCTCCTTTAGGCAGGGTTGCAGCTGAATATCACCAGCTTTGAGTTAACTATCACGGTGTTCACTTTTATTTAACTGTGTGAATAACCGCGCTGCTTTGAAGAAAGAGTATCATTTTCAATATTTTCCTGTTTTTTCTCTTTTTGTTCAGTGTCAGCACAGCCCAAATTGTGAGTTGCTTGCCTTAAGTGTGTTCCTGTTCATAGTGGCAGCAAAACGGAAAAAGAAAGCTGCTTTTTTCCTGCATAGCTTTGGTGCTTTCCCATCTCCATTGGGAATATGTGTCAGATTCTCATTGTGCGAGTGGGAAGCAAGAACTGTGGTTGCTCCTGTTCTCTTAAACCTATTGACAGACACTGGAGATAGGCTGAACACTGTGGTGCCTCGCTGATCCTCTGGAAAAAAGTGCTGAGGCTTTGGTTTCGTCCCCCAATAGCCATCCAAAGGTTGGATGGCCCTGCAGTTCTCAGGAAGAAGCACCTCATTCCCAAAGGACTTTTGTCCTCTTGTGCTTGTTTATTTTGTTATGGATTTATCTTTTTCTTCTTTGTCAAGCAAAGCAGGCCCTTTCTGACCTGGCTTTTTTCCAAGGTTCCTTTTGTAGATGAGATTATGTGCTTCTAGTCTGCTTTTCTTCCCTTTCATCAGTAAGTGCTACTGTATATTTTTGGATTTGTTAAAGATTTAAGATATTAAGAAAGCTAACTTTGTGTGAAGGGCGAATGGCACATATGGGGTCTCTTCTGTCCCCCATTTGGGAGTGTATGAATTTGTAGCAGGAATATGCTAGGGGTCATTTTTCAAAAACTCAAGAGCCATATTTCTTTTTATGTGTGCGTATTTTCCCTTTCGTTTGTCAGACACTGAAAATGTTTCACAGTCTATTCATTATACAGGTAAAGTAACTGTAGGCTATATTTGAGGATTTATACAAGTTTTTTGTTTGTATTAAACCTTGAAAATGTATAAATAGCATTTATAAAGGTATACTTTCAATATTTTATGAAGAATATTCAGCAGAAAAGAAAATATTACATTCAAGAGAGTTCACGTGTTTGTTTTGACTTAAGATTCCATGTATAAAGACATGTATGTTAGTGTTGACCATGTATCTAAATAAGTGAGCAGTACTTATTCTTTTTAAGCATTTTTATGAAATACTTGGAATTCAACCCGGAGAAGCACGCCTGTTTCTAAATGGCCTTCACATCGACATGGATTTTCATGATCCATTTAGGTAAGGATACATTTTGCTTGAAAATCACAGAATTACTAATAATGCAGGGAGACTTGTGCTCAGGATGATAGATAATCTCATCTCTTGTATTTTTCAGGCCAGGAAGTACTCCAGTATAGGGAATCATAGAGGTTGGAAGGGACCTTTAAGAGATCATCCAGTCCAACCCCACTGCTCAAGTAGGGTCACCTAGAGCATGTGACTTAGAATTGCATCCAAGCAGGTTTTGAAGATCTCCAGAGATGGAGACTCCACAACCTCTCTGGGCAGCCTGTTCCAGGGCTCTGTCACCCTCACTGTCAAGAAATTTTTCCTTAAGTTCCTGTGGAACTTTTGGTGCTTCAGCTTGTGGCCATTTCCTCTAGTCCTATCAGTGGCCACCTCTGAAAAGAGACCAGCACCATCCTCCTCACTCCCTCCCTTGAGGTATTTATATACACTGATTAGATCCCCTCTCAGCCTTCTCTTCTCCAGGCTGAACAGGCCCAGCTCCCTCAGTCTCTCCTCATAGGGCAGATGTTCCAGGCCCCTGATCATCCTTGTAGCCCTGCGCTGGACTCTCTCCAGCAGCTCCACATCCCTCTTGTACTGTGGAGCCAAGAACTGGACACA